TGTGAGATGTCACTAGATCATGGTGGTTAGGCTTGAGTGTCCTAAAGCCGGGGACACACCGGCCGCGGAAGCGCCGCGAAGCGCCGAGAAGCAAATCGCTCACGAAATTCGGCCGATGCTCGCCGCTCCTCAGTTCAGATCAGACGCACCCCAGTCGAGGCTCAGCTGTAGTTTTTCTTTTAAACACTTGGTGTCCTCCATTTCCTCTCTGCATTTTCTCAGCTCTTTTCCTCTACGTTTGAGTGTTTGTACGCGTGTGCGTGTGTGTGTGTGTGTGTGTGTGTGTGTGTGTGAACCTATGGTATGAGTTGTTTCTGCCAGTTGAATCTCTTGGAACCCGCTCCAATTCTGCAGCTGTATCCTAGCAGTTTCTTCCGAAATGGGACGTAAATAATCATGTTTTTCGGGGGTCGTACAGCTCCTTGTGTTTCTCAACTTCCATAATTTATTTAAAGTCATCCATCTTAACTGCTTGCCTCAGACTTTCTGCCTCTCTGTCCTGTTTGCTGCGGTGAAAAGACACCCAAAACCACACACCCCTTCACGTGGTCACACACGCACACAAGTTCGATGTGTGTGTATGTGTGTGCGTGTTCGTGTGGTTTTTCTGCAGTGTCTGTTTACGAACACGTTTGACTATTGCGGAATTTTTATTTTGAAATGCTTTATTTTGTTAACTTTACCGGCCTGCCTCTTATGTCTACGTTTGACTTCCTGCCAGAATTGACGCGATTCACCCGCGGCTCGCGAAAAAAATAGAGCCAACGCCGAAATGATCGCTGCACGGCGCGTGCTGGAGTGCCGGCGCGCGCCGGCGCGAGGCGATTCGCGGCGCTTCGGCGGCCCATGTGGTCTATAGAATAGCTTAACAAGGGCGCCGAATGAAGGCGGTCCCATTTTCGCGGCGCTTCCGCGGCCAGTGTGTCCCCGGCGTAAGGATCCCAGAAGCTATGTGCTTTATGGCAGTTTGTACCCTGGTAAGGAATCCCATGGTCGGCTCTCGATTAGGAGCCCAACCAAAACCAATTAAGGAACTATTACCTTGTCTAAACTTGGTAAACAAGGGCCTCATTAGACCTGGGGGAAAGCACCTGTTAGCCAGAATTTCACCGGTCAAGCTTAGCCAGGACCATGGACCCACAAACTGCAGGAAATGCTATAAGTGTCCCTCTCCCTCCCTTTGTTTCACAGGTGATTGGACAGGAGCTGAAGAGCTTCAATGGTCCTTATGAGTTTCTTGGAGGAACTCTTTTGAGGCGGGAGGTGTTACGGCTCCTGCAGAGAAATAAAGCACCCATCCAATTAACACAAATGTTGCTGTACTGGTGCGACCAGCTGATTGGCTGCTTGGGATGTCCCTGCCCACGCTTCTGTACTATCATTGGTCTGGTTGTGTGCAGCCTGTAATTACTTTGAGTGGCTGCACCTGTGGGTGCAGCATAAAAGCCTGCTTAGTGCAACTGCAGAAAGGAGATTAGACTGAGTATTGGGTACTCTTGCCTGTGTGGCATTTCGGTGAGGCTTTTTGGAGGCTGGTTTTTAATAAAAATACTCTAACTCACACCATGTGTCCAGACCTCCTCATGTTGTGATCCCACGAGCTGGGTCGTAACAAATGGGGGCTCATCCGGGATCATCTGTACTTATTGGAGGGGGCTGGATCTAGTGTATTAATTGAGTATTGTGTTTTTACAGCCTGACTATTGCTTATCTTTTTAAAGGCTTGTGGGTGTGACTTGTGGTGGACTAATTTAGTTTAGTCTTTAATGAGCTCTAGTTACTGCTCGCCTATCCACCTTTGTGGAATTGCAGTGTGGAGTTCATGTGTTTCTGTGGTTTGTTAGTTTGTTTGAACGTCTTTACCCAATTTTGGCTGATCACTTGTGTATGTTGCTGGCTGGGTGAAAGCAGTAACTCGATGTAGAGCAGAACTCTACTAGATGTGATAAGATTTTAGGGGTGGCGCTTAGTTTTCTGCTACAAGAACTTTGTTACTTCAGTAACTTGTTGAGGAGAAGACACTCGGTGTGGCTCCACTTGGTGCAGCCTTTTGTCTCGGAAGCAGTTCACTCTGTGTTGATTTGTCAGTTGTTGCTCAGTCCTTTTTATGTAGCAACTTCAGTGTGATGATTCTTGTCTGTGGCTGCTGCATTTAGTCTAGGGTACAGGTTGCTGTTGTGGTAGTTTGTGTCTTTAATTTGTTTTGTGGTGGATCTGGTAGTCTAGTATTCATGGCTTTATTTCTGTTAGGCTTGATTTTCCTGTTAACTCATGATCCTACTACCCTATGTGGGCACCTGCGGGTACAGCATAAAAGGCTGCTTGCACCCGCCGAAAGAAGAGACTGATAAGAGGGAGCACCATTGGGAGCAGATTCCTATTTGGCACTTTTGGCGAGGCCTTTTGGAAGCAGGTTTTTAAATAAAAATACTCTTAACTCACACCACCTGACCTGACATCCTCCTTATGTTGCAATCCCACAAGCTGAGTCGTAACAAAAACCTGGATTTTTGGTCCATCAACTAGCGTTACTAGAGCTCCAATCCAAGGTTGCAGAAAATTGCTTTAGGAACACGAAACATTGTTTTGTTGGTAAAGACAAAGAGTGATCTATGGAACCAGTCCTCTGGAGATGGGCTGGACTTTATTGTACTCTGCAGAAACTCTGAATAAACGGTAGCAGCAGGAGAGTGCCTACCTTTTGCTCCTCACCCTAGTGGTTCAAGTATTCT